ATAAGACTTCCAAATAACCAATGGTTACCCATTTAGAGTTTAAAAATAAAAAGGAAGAAAAAGTCAATGTCTAGGTTTCATACCTTTCCGATGTATACTATTCATGCTGTTGCCTTCCTAAAGCATTTAAGTTACTTTGCCTCTTGCTTACCTCTCATGATCATTACTGTAACCACCAATTATTGGCCAGGGACGTAACCTGCAGTGTGCTTGCCTCCTTTTCCATCTGCCATCAGTCTGCTGCTCACACGGTCTTGGTACCAGCTCATAAGGCCTATAGCTTTACAATTTAATGGGAGCTGAGAAATTGTGGGCAAATATCAAAACTCATTATGGCTTACTATTTTATGGTCATGAATTCAAATCCCTTCATTTTGCAGATCTGAAAGCTAAGACTCCAAGGATTAAACCTCGCCCAAGGTCACACAATGAACTATAGTGAAGTGACATCTTACAATTTGTAGTTCAGACAGAAAAATGTTTTTTAGTCAAAATTGCCCTTAAGAATGTTTTAAATTATCCTTTTGCATAATATATCCTTATTAAAGTTTGAGCACTATAGAGATAGATTGAGAACATAAGAAAAGTCTGCAGGCAGATTCTTGTCTATTCAAACCCTTTACCTTCAAGATAACCATGAAATCCAATAAACGAGAAACAGAGAGAGACATTTTAAGTGTTCTTGCTTCTCTAGAGAATATTTTCATTTGTTCCCAGTATTAAACCTCTGTAAGCTTACTACATTTCAATTGATTAGTCACTCCTCTGAAGATTAGAGGCTTCTGTTCTAATACTCAGATATTAAATGCACATATAATACAATTCCACTCTGGGGATATAGGGCAGACAAAGATATACAAATACACAGTTCTCCTCGTTCCCCATGAGCACTTTTTCAACTACCTACCTACTTATTGACAACGTTCTCTAAATATGACTTGGAAAACAGGAAGAACACAAAAGGTTTACTAATGACCATTTCAGTACCCTTCAGTTTACTGATTTCCTGTTTCTCTTTTGTGCCCTGTGTGATAAAGCTTGCTCTGTAAGAGAAGTATTAGTAAATGAGAAGCCATTTGACTTACATTCAGTCATTTTGATTAGCATCTTTGGTAACTTTTTTGTCTCTCAAAACATATGGTAAAGCAACATGTAATGTTCCAATAATTGTGATTTCAAATCTAAAGTACTATTTGTTCATTCCCGAAACCTGAAGCAAACATCTGGTGGTGAACACTTTGAGAAAAAAAGTGCCTTAGTGCATTACCTCTGTATATGATTCAAGATCATGGGTAAAAATGCGTAGATGAGATCAAGCCACGAAAGCTTAAGTTGATCCGTTCAATTAAAAAAGGAAAAAGAAAAAGCCCAGGCGCTCCTGTGTTTCCTCTAATGCAGGGAATAAAGACTATGCAGTAGCCTTAAGGGTTTCTTCCTTTCTGCCTCCTCTTGCCCTTGGATATCAACTATATCCAGTATATATCCTCCCACTGGAACAAAAGATGTGACTGCTTCGCTATCCCTATTCCATATTTGCTCAGAATTATTCCAGTTTGTGCCTACCATCAGGTTCATATTATTATGCATTTTGTTAATTAGAATTGTATTTCCTATAAAAAACTTATGTCCCATTTTTTCATGTTTTATTTTAAGATTTATTCTAGCTCATACTTTTCATTTAAAGACAACAGTTGGAATAAAGTTTGAAATAAAGATGCACTGTCCATTTCGTAATGTTGTTTATTTAGCAAAGTATTTTGAAAAATAAAAAATGTATAGTGGTAGTGTATTAGTCTGCTAGGGCTGCCATAACAAAATACCACAGACTGGGTGGCTTAAACAACAGGAATTTATCTCTCACAGTTCTAGAGACTGGAAGTCCAAGATCAAGGTGTTGGCTTTCAGCTTCTCCTGAGGCTCCACTCTTGGCTTACCAATGGCTGTCTTCTTGAGGATGGCCTTCAGTGGCCTTTTCTGTGCCTGTATGCCACGGATGTATTTCATCCTCTTATAAGGAAAGGACTCAGTCATATTGGATGAGGGTCATACCCTTATGACTTTATTTGACCTTAATTACCTCTTTAAAGACCCAGTCTCAAAATATAGTTGCAGTGGGGGTTAGGGCTTCAACTTACGAATTTTAGGAGAACACAGTTCAGTTCATAACAGGGAGCAAACAATGCCATTAATCAAATATTCTGTAATATCTTCCCCTTGAAGAAAAAAAATCTTTTTTTTTTTTTTTTGAGACGGAGTTTCGCTCTTGTTACCCAGGCTGGAGTGCAATGGCGCGATCTCGGCTCACCGCAACCTCCGCCTCCTGGGTTCAGGCAATTCTCCTGCCTCAGTCTCCTGAGTCGCTGGGATTACAGGCACTCGCCACCATGCCCAGCTAATTTTTTGTATTTTTAGTAGAGACGGGGTTTCACCATGTTGACCAGGATGGTCTCGATCTCTCGACCTCGTGATCCACCCGCCTCGGCCTCCCACAGTGCTGGGATTACAGGCTTGAGCCACCGTGCCCGGCCAAAAAAATCTTAGGAAGAAACGTGATAAAGTTGTCATTTACATGTGATATCAAATTATTGGAAATATAAATTTATGTGTGAATCATTTATATGAAATATCATTTATAAGTGAATGAGTGAATGAACATTTATCTTAATAGAACCCACAAAGATTCAGCAAAGGAAGAACCAGGCAGGCTAGGAATTCACACTTTTCTGTATTTTTTTCTGGAACAAAGAAAGATCCAGCGTGAGAAATGCCAGATGGAACTGCTGCTCTTCTATATGTTCTTGGGTCAAATGGACAAATTTGGTCTTTATTCTCTGGAAATGTGGCTTCCATATTCGAAACAAGCCTGAATCTTACTTAAATAGCTTCAGTATGCAGAGCCACAAGACTGAGGCACTTTAGTCACAAACATACAGTAAAACATGGATACTAGAGTACTGGTGCACAAATACAGGCAGAGATATCTTTACCCCCTTGTGAAGATCACACCAGTTTTTTAGAACATGGCTCTATGTTCAGTTGGATCATTTGCAGTGTTCTCACTTCTGAATTTTTTTAGTGCTTTGGATTAGGGTAGATGGATTTAGCAAGAATATAGGGTGCCCAGTTAAATTTGAATTGTAGATAAACAATGATTAGTTGTTAAGTATAAACATGTCTCATATAATATTTGGGATATGCTTATACCAAAAAATTCCTTTGTGGAACATGCTTACAGTGAAAACTTATTTGTTATTTCTCTGAAATACAAATTTATGAGTCCCTTATTTTATGCGGCTACCCTACTTTGGGTTCAAGAATGAATTTTCTCCCCTTGCAGCTCCCTCCCTCCAACATTCTTAAGCTACTCTCACCAACTTTGTAAATTTAATTTCCTAGCCTTAACTTGGTGCCGCCTTTAACCTATGTCCCAATGCATGAAAACTTCAGGCTTCGGGCTCCCTCCTATCGGCCTATGTGGTTTGATATGTAGTTATAGAATATTCTGTGTTAAAACATGAAGGTTAGTTTTATACAGCTTTTATCCCTGTGCTGAAGCATTGCATCTTTACATCATATGCCAGCATTAGTATACATAAGGTGCCTAATTGTATAGTGAGAAATTTCTAAACCTTTAAATTTCTAAGCCCTGGTCTCAGTTTGCTGACCTGTAAAATCAGGGGATTGGATTCAAGGTGTTCCCCCAAGGTTCCTTCTAACCGTGCTACTAGTCTTTGAAATGAAGTTTCCAGTAGCGCTCTTATTTGCCTTGTGAAACCTAAATTGTTCCCATTTTGAATGAATCCCTTTCTTTTTCCAGAGTAAGTAGTGTTTACTAAACATTACTAAATAAGTAATGTTTAGATTACTCAATTAATAGTTTCACCTTTAAAGATATGTAACCTAAATTCCTTAAGGGCCAAAGAACACACTTTTCTTTCTTTCCACCCCTACTTGCACCGGGCTTTGCACACAGTGGGTCATCAGATTATGTGATCATGAACATGGATAATGTTGAAACAATCCCTTTGTGATGGGCTCTGACTGTCAGAAACGGTTTTTGCTGTGAACCTAAGCCGGCTGCGCGGTTTAAGACGCAGCCTGGGAGCTGCTAGTTGTTCTCTTCCGCCACCTAGTGGCGCCAGCGCTGCTTCCGTCCGCCCCAGCGCGCAGTTTGGAGCTGCAAGGATTTTAAAGATTGTAAATCAAATGGATGAATTGTTTTATTCCTGTCATTACAGTAAAAAGGGATTTATAGAGTGTTTCAAGAGATAAAAGGTAATAAATGTTAATAAAATTTAAGAGTAACACAATGGCAGACTTTAATTCTTGAACCTTTAAATTCATGCAATTTAATCCCTTTAATATGTTAAAATGTTAAGTTGAACATTAAAGAATAAAAATATAAACTATATTAAAGTTTTTGAAAGAAAGACTATCCTTTCAGGGTGTTCTTGTATACTGTTAAAGAATGTTTTCATATAAAATAAATGTAATCATAGCAGGTGTAAAGGAAAGAAAGGGAACTGAAATAAAATTCTGATAAGTATTAAATTGATAGAGAATATTTCGGTTCTGTATTGAAGCACTTGTCTTCAATTAAGTTAGAGATTATTCTCATTATTATTTATAAATGCAATACAATGTTTAATGAGTGTTGAATGATATTTAGTTTTAATGTCCTATAATCTGGAACTTTATTCAAATGTCATTATAGTGGGGTTAATTGGTGAATCTAAAGTAAAAATAAATTTCTCTAATGAATGAAATAAAATGTTTCTGAAGTGTGACTTATTTCCCTTTAAAGCTATTTTCACTGAATAATGATGGGAAAATATTTCTGACATTTTAACATTATTCTGGCTTTCTTTTGATTTTCATTTAAAATGCCAGTGCTATTATGAAGTGTTTAGATCTTTCTAATAAAAAATATTTAGTTGGAATTCCATTTTGTTTGTAATACAATGGTAAGCCAGCTAAGAAATCTCCAATTTGTTTTCCAGGGTGGAAAAATCCCCATAAGGTGGACAGCTCCAGAAGCCATCGCCTACAGGAAATTCTCCTCGGCAAGCGATGCGTGGAGCTATGGCATTGTGATGTGGGAGGTCATGTCCTACGGAGAGAGGCCTTACTGGGAAATGTCTAACCAAGATGTAAGTGCTACCAGTAGCTAAACTGCCGTTTTGTGAATGTAAACACATCAGCTTGCGGGGGAAATATGCCTTTTGTCTTCACTCAGATTGGCCTTTGTCTTCCTGAGAGCTGCCCCTGCTCTGTGGCCGAGCCTGAGAAGCTGCGTAACCTTTCTGAGCTGCATTTGGTTTATGTGACAATGGCCATAGAAATCACCTCTAACGTGATTCTGAATGCTCATAGGTGAAAACAAAGACTATGTAACTGTGAATAATCCCTAAACACTATTGCCACATCTCATTTCTTTTCGCCAGTTTTCACACAACTTAAGCAACCCACACACACCTCTACACCTCACACCGACCCAATCTCAAATTGTCCAAGTATGTTAAGGACTTAATCACAGATAACATTTATCCTTTTCTAGTGTCAGGCATAGATAAGACTGGATTTTGATTGGCCGGCTATGGCTAGTACTGCTTTTGAAACTGACTCATGCTTAGTACTGTGGGTGTCTACTTACTCTCGGGAAAATGCTAGGTCCAGAAGCTGACACAGCAGCAGGTTTAAGGCCAAATACACTGCTCAGTCCTTGTTCTCAAAAGCACAACATTAAACGGCAAAGCCACTGTGGCTGGGCCTTGAAGAGCATTTGGCCTTAAGGACAACATGCACCATAGCCAGCTTTGCTCCACCCGCAACAATTAGACTTTTTGGATCTGGGTCATTTGCCCACAGTCTGCTGTTCATCAGGGAATCTTATTTGAAGGACTCCTTAGCTCTTCCCTGCCACTGGGCTTTGTTTGGGGCAGTTCATGACTACTTTTCCAGTTTTTCCAAAAACTCAATTCCATGGGCATTTGTTCTTTCACTTTCAAAAGGAACCCATATTTTGGGGTTTTGTTTGTTTTGTTTTTTCTTAACCAGTTACGTTAGGTAGTAAAAGCCACCATAGTTCCTCTTCTGCCCTAAACTCAAGATATTGCTTGCCTGCTTGTCCTATTTTAACACAACTAAAATAGGCCATTCAAGCTATTGCCCAGAATAAAAAGTCCTCCTCCAGATGAGTTACAGTCTTCACTGCACAGAAGAGGCTGCACCTCAAGTGCCCTCCCTAATTGGTATTCTTCTTAGTTCTTGTTTTAATCCGTTCCCAGGCAGACTGAACATTTTCTAAATTTCTAATTCAAAGGGCTCCAAACTGTACTAATATACTGGTATCAGTAGGAAGTTCTCAAGCCTCCATAGATGGCATGTGTAAATTTATTTGTACATTATGTACAAGTCGTACTGTACTAATATACTCATTTAAAACTATTTAGTGGATGCCATCTCCATTCTAGGAACTCGGCTTTCACCAGAGAACAAATATTACATTTGGAAGGGACTCTAAAGATTATCTAAGCCAATCCCTTTATTGGTCATGAAACTGAGGCATAGAGCAGTGACCTATTTCCTTAAAATCTCAGAGTAAGTGACTTATTAATGCTCTTAGAAAATAATTCCAATAAACTTCTAAAATAGGTCATGGGCAAGGAGAAGAGGAAAATTGTGTATTCCATGGTAGTTTAGTTTACAGTACATATAGCTCCACACATAGGGCCAGTGGTTTCTTGCCCGCATGGGGCTTACATTCTAATGGGAGGGAGACAGACTACAAACAAAATCAGTAAGAGACATAGTATATAACAAGCTAACATGACAATTACTGCTTTGGGAGAAAAAAGCAGGAGAAGAGTATAAGAGATATTGGGGTGTTGATTTAAATATATATATTAAATAAATACATATATATTTAATATATATATTGTTTTATGGTCATAAAAGTCATAATTAATCTTTGTTATTAGACATTCATAAACATTCTTATAATAGGAGGATACAAGTAAATATAAAGTGTATTCCCATGATTTTTCCTGCCCTGCCCATTTAGTAACCACGGCCAGGTTATGTGGACTGTAAAGCAACCACAAAAGACACCTAACTTTAAAAGTGCCTCGGTTTCAATAAATACAAGAAAGGAGATAGATGATTTCTAGCGTCTGCTTTAACAGTAACATGCTATGGTTTTATAATCTCTGAAGAAATAGTTATTACATTTTTCTCAGCAGATGGAATACAGAATGATTCATAATACTCTTTTCCGATGTTTAGGACTTTCCTGAATCTCTGCAGAGGTACCAATAATCAGATAGGATGTCCACAAAGCAGAGCAAGGACAAAGGAAGATGCCAGACCACGAGACAGATTTTTTAGGAGAGCAGCTTCTGCCCAAATGTGTAGTTTGTAACATAGACCACCATGCAAACTGTTCTTAATAATTGTAGCCTAAAGTAGTCCAAGCCCTGCTGTCCACCCCTCCTTTCCTGGATCTTGCCCAAAAGTTTGCCCAGCCATTCTGGCCATGTATATTGGTGATCTGTGTCCAAGATGACCACTTAGAGAGTAATTTTTGTCTATTAAACCTCATTTGGCCACAGAGGCTCTATCTGGAACCCAGAGAAGATGCTGCAGCCAGGACTAGAGTTCCAACATTAAGCTCATTCTCATTCGTTCAGGATTGCCAGTGCTCACATACAAGGCTGAACTCCTCTTCCACCCAGAGCCTGGCTGCTTTTCCACCAGGTAGGGTGTAAGCGGCTGTATTGTCATGGTCTTGACGTACATTACCAAAGAATGTTCAAGCAAGAATCTGGGAAAAGGGGAAAAAAGAGGATGGAGGCCTACGAAAAAAACAAACAAACCCCAAACCTGAGGTCCTCAGATCAATCCAGACTACAGGAAAATAGTAAGAGCCAAAATCTTTTCTGTATCTTGTGAATACTTTTTGCTGCTGCAGTAAAGAGAGTTGAAATTCTGTTTAGCTTAACATATTGGAAGTCAGCATAACTGTGACAGATCCTATAACCAGGATTTTGTTTGGAAGCGGAAATAGCTTAATCAAAAATTTCCCAGCTGCTCTCTGCAAATACTGGCTATTCCCTATCTGTCCTGCATGTCTCATTTATTTGGTCAAAATATAGTCTTACGTTTGACTTTTTCAAAGCAAGGCCTACTTTGAAGGAAAATGTGATAGACACTACAAATTTGACTATGTTCTATGAGAATATTTTCTATTTTTACTATAATTTGGTGAGTTTAAGAAAGCTGTTCGTACAGATCAAATGGAGTGTTACCATGCTTTATGATTTTAAATGAGTTTAAGAAATTTCAGATTGTTTTCATGAGTTTCTCTGCTCTGCAGACTGTTGGATATTTTATTACAATGAACAATTTTGAGTCTGCAGAATCTGTTTTAGTGAATAATATAATGAGTTTCCCAAAGGTCAGTGGTACTATACTTTAGGGAAAGAAAATTTTAAAAGGAGTACACAGAAGTAGTCCATAAAAGACCTAACGAAATATAACAGCAGGTGCCATCTGCTTAGCCGTTCAGCAGTTACTTATTAAGCATATGCCAGTCATTAGACCGAATGTGCATATGGGGTGGGGTGGGGAATTAGAAAATCCAGTTTTCAGTAGGCCAAGCATGGTAGCTCACACATATAATCAATGCTTTGGTAGGCTGAGGTGGAAAGATCACTTCCCAGGAGTTCCAGACAAGTGTGGGGAACATAACGAGACCCTTTCTCTACAAAATATAGAAAAAATTAGCTGGGTGTGGTGGCACACACCTGTAGTCATAGCTGCTTGGAAGGCTTGAGCCCAGGAGTTCCAAGTGACAGTGAGCCATGATGTGCCACTGTGCTTCAGACTGGCGACAGAGTGAAGTCCGGTATCTCACTCTTAAAGAACCCACTATGCAGGTAAAGAGGAAATTTGGATATCTTTAAGTCTTATCCCCACCCTCAAATATATTCTGTACCTTCTACTTTTTTTTAAATGGAAACAATGCTGTGTGAAAACACAGTTTTTTTTTAATACATATATATGCCAAGAAAGCATACAGACTCTATTTTTCAGGGTTCTTTTCATTACAAATGAAAGAAACTCAACCCAAAGTCATGTAAGCAAAAATTAGGAACTGTTTTTCATCATGAAGCTAAGAAGGTGGCCAGCATCGCTCAGTCCAGAGGCTCATGCAGGACTTTTAGTGCGTCGCTAGGTGGCTTGGCCTCATCCTCTCCTCCTGCTGAGTCCTTTGCTGTCTGCTTCTTTACACTCCAGGGCTCGGTATGCCAGCTTAGCAACCCAGCAAAACGAGACCTTCTTTCTGTGAAACTTCATACACCAATCCCAGAGGAGATTCTGGCTGGCTTTGGTAGAGGCTTGCCCAGCACTAAACCAAAACTATGCCAAGGAAATAGATACTATGATTGACCCAGCTAAGTTTATATGCCAGTCTGTGCATTTATAGGTAGGTGATGCGTTGTAATTGGCACTCTCCCCATAATTACCTCAGGTGAGGGAAGAATTCCCCAAAGCAATGCAGTTGTGCTATCAGAAGGTATATTTTACCTTTTTGGTACACATCATTTGCAAGATTTGCAAACGACACTGCATTTTAACACTGCAGTATCATTTGCAAGTTAATGCTTGCATGTTAACATTGTGCATTATGTATTCTAACGAGGCAGCAGATTATACTGAAAAGGCCAGTCGGGCTTTAAAACAAGGTCTCTCAGCCTTAGCGCTATTGACATTTGGGGCCAGATAATTCTTTGCAGATAAATATGTTACATGCTTTGCAGAACGTTTAGCAGCATACTCAGCCACTAACCAGCAGATGCCAGTAAAACCCTCCCAAGCTGTGACAACCAAAAATGTCCCAGATGTTGTCCAGTCATCAACACTGCTTTCTAGCTAGAAAGATCTGGGTTCAAATCCCAGATGTACAACTCACTGGCCATATAATCTTAGGCAAGTTGTTTAAGCTTTCTGAGATACTAGACATACTCAGGTTCAAAACACCCAGCGCTGGAATTGGAAAGCGTTAGAGGTAATGTATATAAAGCATCTGGCACATGGGTGTTTCATCAACAGCAATAATAGCTCACATTTTCTGGTCCTACTGTAAGCC